CTCACGAACTATGAGATCATGATCTGAGCCGAAGTTGAACACTTAACCGACTGAGCCACCCAGGCGCCCCATCACAGATTCTGGTCTTAAGTTTTCACTTTCATTTAGTGTAGAATACTTTATAATTTCCTTTTGATTTCTTCTTTAACCCATCAGTTATTTTGAAATGGGTTAGTTTCTCAATTTTGTGGTATTTTCTGTTACTCATTTCTAATTTAATTCTATTGTGGTCTGAGAGCATGCTTTATGCATCTTTTAATTGATGTTGAAACTTGTTTTATGCCCAGTATTTGGTTAATGTTGATATGTGTTCCATGTATTAAAAAATATATATTTGCTGTTGAGTGTTCTCTAAATGTCAATTACATCAAGTTGGTTGATGGTATATTCAAATCTTCCATATTCTTAGTGCTTTTCTGTCTACTTGTTCTATTACCTTTTGAGGAAAGGAACATAGAAATCTTCAGTGATTCCCCAGATATGTCTGTATTATCGTTCTGTGAACAGATTTCTTTTTAGCGTCCCTTCCTTTTTTAAGACTGTGTTGGAAGTGATTCTCAAGTATTTTCTATGACTTTTGAAAGCCTTCATTGGTTAGTGAGAGAAACCTCCCCATCACAGTACTGAGAAACTAGTGTCTATAAAAAAAAAAAAAAAAGTAATAATACACCTTCAGTGTAAAATAAAGACTTTGCTGCAAATCCTTCCAGACTATTGTATATGACAGAATTCTGAACTTTTGATTCAGTCAAATTGATTAATTTGGGCTCAACAGGGAAAAGGGAGCCCTCTTTATCTTTGACCAATAATTCCAGAACAGCTCAGAAACATCGTTTTAGGATTGTCTTCTTTGGATCCTTAATAGTACAAGTAGAACTTGAGTTACACTTTTCGTGAATGTGCTGGAGGACTAGGAGTCAGAGAAGAAATCAGTGAATGAATGTAATTACTTAATCCATTTTTATTCTCTTGTATTTGTAATCAAATCTAATATTTTTGTTCTAACTTTATTTAAAAATCAGAGGAAAACTTCTCAGTGCTAAGTGCATGACCTTTACACTAAATAATACACATAGTGAAATACAAATATGTCAGCCAAACCGCAAAGCCATGGTAGTTGTCTAGTGCTTGAGTCTTTCTGGTACTCTGCCCAATGCCACGAGCAGGGTCTACTCCCGTACTGCCTGTGGTACAGCAGCAATAGGAGAGGCTCTTGTGTAGTCTGTGACTGGTCGTGAGATTCCTTGTGTGCTAGGTGGTGTTCTGAGCCATGGAGTGGCCATCGCTAATGGTCATTATGGGTGCATGCTTTAGCTGATCTCAGGGAACTGGAGAATTTTTTTTGGCAGAGTTCCTGAAGGGTCCATTTTCTCTAATTCGGTGGGTGTTCGTTAGGTTGATGTGGTTGCTCTGCTCTGGGGAGTCATGCTCAACCTTTCTGGCAGCATGAGTATTAGTTACCCTTCTGTGACAAAGAGATTGAGAAATGGTCTGAAGAGACTTGTTTTCTGTAGCAATCTGGGAGTTAGGGTAGGAGAATATGTAGAATATAGACTTGAAATTGTCAAATTTATGTCAAATGTCCAAAATAAAAGGATAGATGTTTTAGCACTTTTATTGTATTCAAAAATTGCTTCTCTGCCTCTCTTGTTTGGTTGGCCTGTTTTTAGGTATGTTATTCTTTCTTTTTCTTCTTCTTCTTTTTTTTATCCTCTGCTAGGTACATTATTCTTAGCTCGTCTCTGGGCTCCTGAGATAAATGGACTAAACTAGTAATTTCCTTTCTTCAACTTTCAAAGTCCCATTGAGAAAAGGAGCAGCTGGCTTCTGCTGTGATTACATTGGAAACCGCGCTCTTCTGTTCTTGCCCACGTGGACGCACTCTGGGCTGTTTGAGAATTCAAATCTGAAACAGCATAGTGATACCAATTTCTTCTCTTTATGCATAATTAAATTATTTTTAAACTTAGCGACTTTAATGTTGGCACTAATATGCAATTAAGTAGTCAGGAGCTTTTAATTAAGCTATCAAGTGTTCCCTGTATACTAAGTCCAGGAAATAGTCCTACAGTTGTTGAAAATGAAGCTCATTTCTTCCTGGTGGACACAGTGTGGACTTTGGAGTCAGACCCAGTTTCCAGCCCTGAACCTACTAAGCACTGTGTCTGAGACTTGTGTCCGCTTCAGCAGTGGAGAAACCGCACCATCTGCTTGGTGGGGTGGTTGTAAGAAATTTCAGAGACACTGGCGTTTCCTAAATACTTTGTGTTGTGAGGGGTGCCTGGGTGGCTCAGTCGGTTAAGCGTCCGACTTCGGCTCAGGTTGTGATTTCACGGTTCGTGGGTTCGAGCTCCACATTGGGCTCCGTCCTGACAGTTCAGAACCTGGAGCCTGCTTCGGATTCTGTTTCCCCCTCTCTCTGCCCTTCCCCTGCTCATGCTTTGTCTCTGTCACTCTCTTTCTCAAAAATAAATAAACATTAAAAACACAATTTAAAAAAATTAAAAAAAATACTTCGTGTTGTGAAATGTGACTTGTTTTTTTGAAGGAATCATTTCCTGTGCAAATATGTCTGGAATTTGCAGCAGGCTCCCTTCTCTTTGAGGTTCCTTCATGTGTGAAAACTTTGGGCTTTTGGAACCCCTTTGGTCAAGAATCCTCTCTGCTTCGTTGAACTTTGCATTTCCCAAACAGACTTTTCCTCTCTTCTTCTCCCCACCCCTGCCATGGAACGTTATGGAACATATTGTAGTTTATGTTTCTTTTCATGGAACGTGGTTTTGAAAATAAAGTGCCTAGTACAATGTCCCTAATTTGTACTGGGTAAATTATAGGTTTTTTCCTCCTTCTTTTCAGTGTTAATGTTAATGGTTCAAAACTGAATTGTAAACTCAGAGCCCACTTCAATTTTAGTCTAACCTTCTCAGTAAGTAATCAGCCATTTTGTTCTTCCAGGTTTTTTTTTGAGATGTATTTAATCATATATAAATACTGTATAAGCACTGTATAAACTTAAGGTGTACAGCACAATGACTTGATATATGTGTATATTGTGAAATGATTACCACAGCGAGTTTAGTCAGCACCCATCCATCCATTTAATAATTTGCTATATTTTATTCTTCATTTATTATCTTTTAGTTCATATCTTTTACCCAAAATGTTGTTAAAGACTTTGATGTTAAAATACGAGAAATGCAGTGTACTGGTAGGAGAGTAAGAATCTTGCAGCGCAGTGTCTGGTTAAATTCCTGCTTCACTAGTTCATTTAAGTAACATCTTAAATATTCATAAACATTCATAGTATTTCTTGGAAGTTTGCTCCTAGCACTCTGAAAGATACTTAGGTGTAGTGAAAGATGTGGCGTAGATACTTCCTGCACCTACTTTGAGCCTCTGAACACTAGGTGGAAACCATGCATGTCTTTCTTGAGTGACTTGTAAGAATTCTGTAGATTTAAGAAGTGAGAAGTAACAACTTTGCAGTAAAAAAGCAGATGTTAAAAGAATAAACAGTAGGAGAGTATTTTGTTGTTTTAGTAAGAAATGAAGATAGATAAAAAGAATAAAAGTAATTTTATGCCCAGAGATATTTGTTGCTAACATCTTACCCTCCTAGATTTTTTTCTTGTGTAGTCCACAAAAATAGTACCATGTTTATACACGCTGCTTTGTAGCCGGCTTATTTTACTTGCACATGCGAAGTAAAGGGCTTTTTACGCCAGATATCTGTGAAAGCACCCTTATCTTTCCCGAGTATCTGCCTTAACAGCGTGCCCTCTCTCACTCTCCAGCCTGTTTCTCAGCAGAAGTTGGAGGTTGGAAGAAGAGTGAGGAGAGGAGCAAGCTGTCTTGGAGGATAAACTGTTGTACCTTATGTGATTCCTTATTGGCTGTGTGTAAACTATTGGTGTATGCAGAATTAGGCAGAGTACGCATCCTTTATTTCGCTGAGTTATGTTATACTGACCCAAAAAGATTTGCATTGAATTTATTGCTTAGAAGAAGAAGAAAAGGTTGTTTGGAAAGATCAAAAGCTGGCATGGGCATATTTTGTACACCTAGAATTAATAATAAATCTGAAATTCTTTGGGCACCTGGTGGCTCAGTCATTTGAGCATCCGATTTCAGCTCAGATCATGATCTCACAGTTCGTGAGTTTGAGCCCCACGTTGGGCTCTGCTGACAACTCAGAGTCTGGAGCCTGCTTTGGATTCTGTCTCCCTCTCCCTCCCCTCCCGCTCCCCCCCCTTCCCCCTTCTTTCCTCCTCCCGCCTTCCCTCCCCCCTCCCCCTCTCCCCTTGTCTCCCCCTCTTCCTCTCTTCCTCTCTCCCTGTTTCCCTCTCCCTCTCAAAAATAAACTTTAAAAAATTTTTAAATAAAAAAAAAAATCTGAAATTCTTGTAATGGAGTACTGGATGGTTTGTTTACTTTCTAAGTTAAATCCAAACAAAAAGCCAAGAAGAATGGCAAAGGACATTTTTCTCTTGATGAAAGATATTTTTAAGAAAAATGTTAGATTATTAAACATATTTTGATCTGATTTTATTAGAGCTTGATTGCATGGTATCAAGAACTGACAAAAGAGGGAGCTTGGATTAAGCTCAGTTGGTAGAACATGTGACTCTTGATCTCAGGGTTTTAAGTTCAAGCCCCACAAAGTGTAGAGATTACTTAAAAAGAAATGAAGTCTTGGGGCGCCTGGGTGGCACAGTCGGTTGAGTGTCTGACTTCTGCTCAGGTCATGATCTCTGGTTTGTGAGTTCGAGCCCCACGGTGGCCTCTGTGCTGACAGCTTGCAGCAGGAACCTGGCGCCTGCTTCTGATTCTGTCTCTCTGCCCCTGCCCTACTCATGCTCTGTCTCTGTCTCTCTCTTTCAAATATAAATAAACATTTAAAAGATAATAATAAAATCTTTAAAAAAAAGAAGAAAAACTGACAAAGGAAGAGAATTTATTACTGTTTCTCTGAAATTAAAAAAATTTTTTTTTAATAAAAGGTGGCTACCATCCGGTGAAAATTGGAGACCTCTTCAATGGCCGCTACCATGTCATTAGGAAGCTAGGATGGGGACACTTCTCAACTGTCTGGCTGTGCTGGGATATGCAGTAAGTGTTCTTTGTCATTTGTGCATTTCATTTCTGGTCTAGTTCAACCTTTATAAGACAGGGTGGCTGAGGAGCAGAGGTGTTTGTGTGGTGGCCTGAGAGGACATAGCACAGGCCTGCTCCACCCAGCTAGACATTCCCCCCCCAGTCTGAAGTTCTCTTGTCGGTTATCTTAATGTATTAACTTCCTTCTGCTTATGTATCTGCAGCTTATTCAGTGATACTGCATGACATGGGACGTACTGTTCTTCTAGTAATTCATGCGTAGCAGAAAAATATTCAAATGTAAAATAATAATGTATAGGCCTTTAAATCAGTGGTTTCTGACCTTTTTAAAAAAGTCATGAGCCCATAGTATAAAACTGCACCGCTGCCCAGTGTACATATACATACGTACTAAAACAGAAATGTTAACAGAGTAATACTGACTCTACATGATGAACTCTGACATTTTCCCAGTCTACCTTATTCTTATTAGGAAAAAACAAACACACAACAAAAAAGAGATTATTTTGATCCATGAACCTGTTGCTTAATTATGGCCACACAGTTTGAAAAGTACTGTTTTAAAGGAAAGGTTATTAAATGTTTCTGTTTATTGAATAGATCTTATTATAATGATCACTTCTGATAATATAAAAAATATGCATTTTTTTTTTAAAGGGGGAAAAGATTTGTTGCAATGAAAGTTGTAAAAAGTGCCCAGCATTATACAGAGACAGCCTTGGATGAAATAAAATTGCTCAAATGTGTAAGTACTGCAAAAATGTGAATAATGTAAGAAAAATTAATGACTTAAAATTTTATAGAGGAATTTTTTTAGGTTTTACTTAATTAAAATTGAATTTATTTTTTATAAATTCAAATACTGAATCATTTATTTTTAAAAACATTACTTTTACTAAGACATTTTTGATTGGTATAATGGAAATGACTTTCAGTCTTAAATGCTTCCTGTTCTTGAATTCATTTTTCTTTCCATAGGTTCGAGAAAGTGATCCCACTGACCCAAATAAAGACATGGTAGTACAGTTAATTGATGACTTCAAGATTTCAGGCATGAATGGAATACGTATCCTTATTGACAGTTCTTCTGCTTCCTAATGGCTAAATTATAATGTAGCTTTTCTTTTTACTTTTAAAACATGGCAGTATTTCAAACTCATTTAAACTTCTGTTTCCTGTGCTCCATCACTGTCCATATAATGCCTCTAGTATGATCACCGAGTGTTGTAAAATGGTATGCCAAAATATTCCCCAATTCCTGCCAATCTGTTTCGGTGTCTTGGGTAATCTCTCTGGGGCCGTACAATTACTCAGCATCCTTCTTGTACATGCTGCTAGCTCTTTGACATTCTTCTTGTCCAAGCACTGGGCTCTACCTTCAGTATCAAGCTGGGGAGTGCCTTACATATGTGTAAGTAGAGAGCAGAGAAAGATTAGCCGCAGTCATCTTTACATATTACAAGGAGCAAAAGATCGGGTGTGTCAAGAGCCAGAGTCTTCCCTTGACTGATCTTTTGCTCCCTCCTTGATACCATGTTTGGAACAGATCTTGATATTTGACCTGCTCAGGCTCCAGAAACCTGAGGACAAAGCCATCCCCCAGCCCAGATCGACATCCTGTTTCTGCATCTCCTAAGCCTTAATCTTCTAGGGAAGCACTCCTGCATATGTTTGAAGGAGATTCTGTATTTCTTCTAGAGACTGGACTCGAGGGTACTAGTAAGTGCCACTGCCTGCTGCTGTCACCTTGCCCTTTGCCTCAAGATCATTTCTGCTAGCTGCTGAGTGCATTTCCCCCCTTGGTAGATAGGAAGATAGAGCTGGTCCTCTGCTCTGTCCCCAGGTGAGCCTGTCTGTGAGCAGGCGTGGCAGCCCCTCCTCCTGTATCAGTTCTGCAAGGCAGTTTGCTGGGATAGCTGACAGGGTCTCTTTGGAGAAACCACCTGATTTATGGGCAAGTATACATTCCAGTGGCTATTCTTACCTTTAAATAAATTGCTCAGAAACCATTATGGTCCCATTTGGTCAGTGCTTAGAACTATTGGCCTTTGGCTCTGTGTCTTTTACTAACTTTAGTCCTTAGTTTGCCATTTTTTATAATGAGTTGGGAAATAAAACTTCTGGCTTTAGATTATCTGTGCATGAATCTGTAATGTTCTCGAACACTGTAGAAATATTTTATTAAAAAAAATGCTTAAAGTGACAAATATTGTGGTAATGTGAGTGGTAGATCCAGGTATTGTAGAAAATATTAAATCAACCAACCTGTTTTAATAACCTGTCTGTCGGCTTGCAGGGATGAACAGTATATTCTCAAAGGCTTTCAGAGCCAGTTGAAGTTTTCCTGTATGAATGATATGAATATATTCGTATGATGGACTCTGATGGATCATAGTTCTGGAGAGTCCGTGACTGACTAGAATTTCTATTGGGGGAAAAAAACACCCAGATTCCTGAGATTTCATTATTTTAGGTGGGTCTTAGTGCCATGTCTTATATTGTCATCTTGTGTTATTGAAAGCTGCCTATAGTGTTAAAGTTGATCTAGTTCTGCAGTGAAAGATAGTATTGAAGGAAAAGATTAAATGTCTTCATTATGTTTTTTAAATTTCTATTTTGTAAAGTGTTCTATGGAATGGAAATTTATTTTTTTATTTTTTTAACGTTTATTTTTGAGACAGAGAGAGAGCATGAATGGGGGAGGGTCAGAGAGAGAGGGAGACACAGAATCCAAAGCAGGCTCCAGGCTCTGAGCTGTCAGCACAGAGCCCGATGCGGGGCTCGAACTCACGGACCGCGAGATCATGACCTGAGCCAAAGTCAGACGCTTAACTGACTGAGCCACCCAGGCGCCTGTGGGATGGAAATTTAGACAGTCAGGGAGGATACCTAAGACGCTTTTGTTGTTGTTGTTGTTGTTGTTTTCCTCTCATCAGTTTTTATGAGGTTTCAGCCTGGTTCACTTTTCATTAAGGCTGATTATCAGGAAGGAGGGTGTTGAAATGATCGAGAGCACAGGGAGGTGTGGGGTTGGGTCGTGGTCCATCCGGAACCGTGTGATGCCAAAGAGCACTTCCAGCTCCTGGGTTCGCTGTGGTCACTTCTGTGTATGGTGGTGAGCACATTGTTTGAACGTGACGAGCACGCACTGAGTAACATATAGGATATGAGTACTTAGTGTTAGATCTCTTCATTCAGGTGAGAAACAGCAGGTGACCACTTGTGGTATTATTGATACTAGTGATGTTGCATTTCATAAAGAAAGAAATGCCAAGTGCTACAGCGATGGCTGCTTTGAGTAATTGCATCACTCCAGGAAATGTATCTGCAGATGGTCCTTAACCGTGTCCCAGATGTCTGCATGGTCTTCGAAGTGCTTGGCCACCATCTCCTCAAGTGGATCATCAAGTCCAACTACCAAGGCCTCCCAGTACGTTGTGTGAAGAGTATCATTCGACAGGTGAGGACATGAGAACAGCCCCCACCCTCCATTACCTAACTGGCTAGCCTTTCAACACGGATTCCTGTTCTTAAAAATATGCTTAGCATACACATGTGCACACACACACACACACTCACACACATATAAATATATATAATTTTTATTTTACATATATACATGTATATTACAGTGCATAACATTTTGAACTTGTTATGTCAATTTTATATTTATTTAATGATATGCCATCCTGTCTTGTAAAGAGAGAAATTTGTAAATGTCAGGCATGCATTTCTTTTGGTGTATTGATCTTTTATTTAAAGTAAATGGTATGGTATACTGAGAGATTGTTTTATCTAATGTCATTACTACAAAATGTCCCACTTAGTTCCTTAGAAAATAGTTCAGAAGAAATAGATAATTTGTGTTTGTTTACTATTTCTGCATATCTTTGGATAGAGTCTAGATGAAAGATAATACAAGGCATGTTTAAGTTGTATAGGGAGGGGGCTCTTGGGTGGCTTAGTTGATTAAGCGTCCGACTTCGGCTCAGGGCATGATCTTTTGGTCTGTGAGTTTGAGCCTGACATCAGGCTCTGTGCTGACAGCTCAGAGCCTGGAGCCTGCTTCGGATTCTGTGTCTCCCTCTCTCTCTGCCCCTCCCCCGCTCATGCTCTGTCTCTCTCTCTCTCTCTGTCAAAATAAATAAAAACATTAAAAAATTTTTTAAAATAAAAGTTGTATAGGGAGTATTGTATTAGATTTGTATTTTGTTCAATTGCCTTGACAAAAGAAAACCTCTAGCTGGGGTCTGGTTCGGTTATGATGTTCCTGCAAATATTTCTAGAATGAAAATATACACATATCAGAGATCTGGTAATGAGAAATGTTTACCAGATTCAGTTTTCTGTATGGGATATATCAGTCTGTGCTCCTCATTGCCTTGCTAGCCTAAATTAGGAAAGTGGGAGATATGACTTATTCTGAATTACCTGTTCTGACATCATGGATAATTGCCGAGGATAGTGTTGCAAAGGAAGTAATATTGGGGGGCGGGGGTGGAGGGGGCGGGGGTTGTTGCTTGGTTTTCTTGAGAAGAGGATTAGGTGATTTGGTGCCCTTCTCTTGTCCCCAGGGCCCAGAGCTTGAGCAAGGCCTGCTCAGGGGTTTCCAGACCTGAAATACAGGCCTCAGTTCAGAATTCTTACATAGGTAAAGAATCAGGGAATGATTTACAATTAAGAATTGTGAATTCAAGAGAAGCCTACAAAAGAACCTTCCTTACAATTGTAGTATAGATAGTATTTGCACATATGCATATAAGTAGGTTTTTAACTTTTGAAATTGTGTATAGGTAGCATTGTTGAGTCAGCCTGAGTGTTCACCATTTATGTTTGTCTCTTTGCAGTGCAAATTGGCAGCTTGTCTTCTAACATTATATATGTTACACAGGAAGAGAGGCTGGAGGGAGAGGGGCTCTTTGCCTTGGCTTATACAGTGGAATGCTATACTTGTACATAGTATTATCTTAGGTATACAGACTTGTGGCCAGATTTTGTTTAATAATATCTGTTCCCCTTTAGACTTTAGATAGTAGCACTTTAGTATTTTAACATGGTTAATAGCTCAAATAAAAAAACAATTTCCCTTTAACATGGTGGGGGGGGGGGGTGGGTTGTGATTAATGTCAGTTGGAGTTTTTCAATCCCTAAATAACACTTCAGTGTTTATAACTATCAGTGGCAACTCTAAACTCTGAAAAAAATCATCTTGTTAAAACTCTGAAAAAATTTCTTAATTATCTCTGATAAACCCTGAAAATATTAAGATTTACTTATTCTAAGAAAAAGTAAATAATTTGAGAAATACCGCCTTGCATATATTTCATGTAGGGTCTGTCTTTCCCTTGAGCCCCGTACTTTGAAAGATATATGCAGTTGCCACAGCGACTGACCATGTCACAACTCAGGCTGGGCAGTGAAGGAAGGTGACTTCCCAGAGGAACCATTCGTATTTATTTTGTGTTCCAGAAAAGGGAAACAAAATGTAGCCTTTCATAGCAAATGAAAGAGTCTGTAAATCTAAAGATGAAATTCTTGGGGTTTAATGGAATTTTAGTGGGTGCTTGCTGAATGAACAAATGATTTTAATGACTGTGTTATCCTCAGTGTAATTCACATACACCGTGCTTTGCAGGCTGAGAACTCGAGTGTTCCACTGGTCTAAAATTTCAAGATGCAGTTTTCATTTTCTGTACTTAGTTATTGTACGCAGTATTAGAAGTTTTGTGTATATGTGTGTGTATGTGTGTGTGTATATATATATATATATATTTTTTTTTTTTAAGAAGAATACGGAATCTGGATTTTTTCCCCTAAATTTGTAACTTTCAAAGCAGTAAATTGATATATATCCCAGTTAATAATCTATATATCTGAGTTTCCCTTCATTCCCTTTGATTCAGTCTGTGGATTCAGTATTTTAATCCTTTATTAATAGACCTCACAGTTACATTGCTTCCCAGAACCAGACTAGGTACACCAGCTTTCTAATACCCTTCCACTGTGTGGCCTCCTTTGCCTTCAGTCAGGCTAACCCTGTGTGACTCACCCCTGTCAATTGTCATTTGCCGTGCTTCAGTTGTCACCTAGGCATCGGGTCTTTGACTCCCAATCTTTCTGCTTCCAGCGCCACCATCCTTAGTCAGGCCCTTATCACCTCCAGCCAGTCCTCTCCTTCTCTCTCCTCTCCCAGAGGCTGTTCCGCTTCCCTGTCCCAGGTTTTTCTCCGTTCCATTGGCAGTTACCTTCCAAAATGAGACTTTGCTTCAGTAATTCGCACTTTGCATTTAGAAACCTCTAGTACCTCTCCATTGCCTGTTGACTAAAGCCTAACTGCTCGTTGTTCACTCTCAGGAAGCAACATGTGGGGTGATAAAGAGCTTGGGTTTTGGTGTCAGATGTGTCCTTCTCAATGCTAAGGGACCTCAGCTTAGTTCCTTAGCCTCCTTACGCCACAATTGCATCGTGAATGAAGTGAGAATAATAATGGTACCTTCCTTGCTAGATTATTGTTACAACGTAAAGGGATACTACTATTGATTATTACAAATTTTTTTGAAGTTTATTTACTTATGCCGAGAGCGTGCTAGAGAGAGTGAGAGAGAGCATGAGTGGAGAGGGGTAGGAAGCGAGGGAGAGAGATTATCCCAAGCAGGCTCCAAGCTGTCTGTGCAAGCCTGATGTGGGGCTCGAACCCACAGATGGTGAGATTATGACCTGAACCAAAACCAAGAGTCAGATGCTTACCCAGCTGAGCCACCCAGAAGGCCTGATTATTACAAATTTTTATTCAGGGCTTAGTATGTGCCAGGCATAGTTGTAAGTACTTTGCAATTTTTCATTCATTGAGTATTCATAGTAACTCTGCAAAATAAGTATTTTTACCCTTCTGATTTTATGGGAGAGGAACTGAGGCATTGAGAGGTTAAGTAACTCACTCCTAGTTAGGAATTAACTTAAAAAGTAGTAAGCTGTGGAACCGGAATTCATACCCAGGTGGTCTGGCTCTGGAGATCTTGTGTTTAGCATTTTGCCCAGCAGCATATACACCATTGGAATTGTATTTGGCCTAATGTCCGATAACATTTAAATCACTGTTCTTCCAATGAACCTATTTATGGGTTTCTGCCATCTGGTATCGACCCGTATTTCCCCTTGCAAACCCTGATTCAGCTTTTGTCTCCTAGCAGGTGATTTTTTTTTTTCCCATTAAGTAATCTTTTAAAGAAAATAGGTAATACATGTGAGTGTTCTAAAATGTATGTCCTTCAGATACCCAGTTTCTCTCCTAGAGCCAACCAAGTTACCAATCTCTTATGAATATTCAAAAATGCCCAGGTGTTTGTAAATACATGTTGATTTACCGGAATTTTTATTCATAAATGGTTACCAGTTTCATTTTGTAGGTATTTTAGACAAAGTTATTCACCTTGCCCGTTTTTTTTTAGCTGCACATCTTTGATCACTTCCTTTGTCTTAGGTTCTTGAAAATACCATCTCTTCTTTTCTGCCCATGTTTTTATTTATTTTTTTTTATTTTTTTATTTTTTTCAACGTTTTATTTATTTTTGGGACAGAGAGAGACAGAGCATGAACGGGGGAGGGGCAGAGAGAGAGGGAGACACAGAATCGGAAACAGGCTCCAGGCTCTGAGCCATCAGCCCAGAGCCCGATGCGGGGCTTGAACTCACGGACCGCGAGATCGTGACCTGGCTGAAGTTGGACGCTTAACCGACTGCGCCACCCAGGCGCCCCTCTGCCCATGTTTTTAAAAACTCAACCAAAATTTTGCTTCTGTGACAAAGTCTTCCCCAGTTCAAAATGCTATTTGTGCCCTCCTCAGTATGCCTGCAGCCTGCATTGGGTCCTTCCCTAATGATTGTGGAGTCTTACAGCACGAGCCACAGTTCGACAGGCCTGGCACAAGACATTTGGACTGGGTAATTCTTTGTCATGGGGACCTGCCTTGTGCATTGTAGGGTGTTGCCAGCCGACTAGATGCCTGTATCAGCTGCCATCGCCGCACCTGTGACCATTGAAAGCATCTCTCAGCTTTGTCACATGTCCCCGAGGAGGCAGAATTCCCTCCTGTTGAGAACCTGGAACAGGGGAAAGTGCAGTGGATACACGCCTTGCCAGTAGACTTCACTTCAAATAATAACTTGGGCACTTACTGTTTTGTGACCCTGATCGGACCACGTAGCCTCTGTGAGCCTGTCTTCGCATTTGTAAAATTGGGATGATAGTTCGTAACTTGTGGCTTTATTGTGGAGATTATTATGGAGGGACTGCTGATAAAGCATCCGACGGGGCGACCGGCGCATAGTAGCCACTGTGTCTTCCCACCTGCCGTGTGAGCTCTCAGAGTGACACATCATGTGTGAGTTCTCTTTGCTGCTTCTTCATGCAGTAGGTGGTCAAAGGATGTTTGTGACTGGTTGTCTTTCCTTAAATGAAGGA